CTTCTGCATTCCCCTTTTCTGTTGCTTTCCAACATATTTATTTTTCAAATTATTTTTCTTTTATTTGGTTGTTTTTTTAAGTCTTAAATTCTCCATTCTCTTTCCCCCCTTTCCTTTTTCTTCCCCATATAGAGTTACTTGTTCATTAAAGATGGCTTCTTCTTTCTCCCAGTCTTCTTGTTTTGCAATCTTTTCTTGTTGTTTCTCGTAGTTGCAGATCTCCAGTTCTAAGAATTGAAAAATGAAGCCAAAAGAGCCCTTCCCTTCTTGTGCATCTTCTTTGTATTTTTTAAGTTCCATTTTCAATTCATCCAAAAGTGATGCCATTGTAAAAATTTTAAACAACCACCCAATTGGTTTTAGTCATTCAAATATAATAAGCAAAAGTCCAAGAGTCACCAAGCAATCCAAATACATACAAGCTGATCTTATTACACTTTCTTTTTTTTTTCACTTTCTCTTCCTGGGGTTACTATTTAGTTGCAAAGTTCCAGTTAAAATGTATCTTTTAGAAGTCTTATTGAAATTTTACTTTAGATTCTTTTAAAGTCCAGGCAGTCTCCTCCCTCCCAGATCCTGCCCTTATTCTTTCCCTCTCCCTTCCTGCTTATAGAAGAAAAAGTTTTTAATGTTCAGAAATATTTATTGTCCCTTTGGCATTTACTTATATTTTCAGCTTAATTCCCTATTGATGCCAAAGCGGATTTTTCCGATTTTTTTATTCAGATCTCTTAGTTGTCAATGTAAGGTAGGAGAGAGAAGAAGAAAAAACCTTTCCCTTTTCACTTTCTTTCGCTGCTTCTGACTCTTCTTTGGGAGCGATGTTATCTTTTGTAAAATTCAAATCCCAGGGTACCTTAGTTGTTTCTTTTTCGACTTAACCCGGTCAGCCAAAACTTTCACTTCTTATCTTCCTCCTGCACGTTCTTTCCTGGTTGAGTTCTTCTTTGAGGTGGCCATTTCTGACCACCACTCCTACCGCCTTCGTGAAAGAGAGTAATGGCCAGCTGAGGAGGAGAGATGTGGCTCTCCTTGACCCTGCTGGCGATCTTCCCCCTCTTCACCACCTCTGTGGGGTGGCTTAGCCCCGAAACCAGCCGGCTTGGGGCGCTCCAGTGGTGAGCCCAGGCAGAAACCGCACATGATCGTGGATTCCTGTCTGTCGCCGAAGCCCTTCAAACCGGAAGTCAGTTTATCACTTTTAAGAGAAAACTATTCAGATTGAGCTGTACTAGTGTTTAGGGAACATCAGCTGAATTGCTAATATATAATAGTTCTCCTTCTGGGCTTACTTTATACAACTAGTTTGTCACTCTGAAACAAAATAAGGGACTAATTAAATCATTTGTCTGCCATACCATAGTTCTTTTAACATCCTTATAGTTGGTTCAAAGATAACAATCATCTTTCATAAGAACTAAACTATTATTTCATTTGAAACTACTGTTGTAAATTTTCTATTGCCATTGTAACTTTTTTCAGCATTACAAGATAGAGCAATAGTTACCAGTTGGACATTTAGGACGAGGTTCTGCAAAGGACAGGTGCATGGTTTCCTGTGTATTATCAAAGATGGTCCAAATGTCCAATAAATTAGCTGAATATCTAACCCCATGAATTTAATAGAAAACATTGCTAAAGACAGACATGGCTGCCTTTGCTGTATGTCTTCAAATGGGTCCATCCATGTAGCAGTCTTAAGCTGATTGTTTCCTGTGCTGAACTAGCTGAGAATAAAGTTGGCTAAATATATTCCTGTTTAGTTTTCGATCCATTTCTTAGTTTTGGCAACGATACTGGTCATATATAGTTATCACTGAACCTGGTTGGTAGATTCCTCCTGCTTCTTTCCCACTCTTAGCTATATGGGGGCGGGGGGAATCAATTATATTCCTTTGTATGAATGGGTCATTCTATGGACACATAGTTTCCACTTATAGCTCTTGTTTGTGAGCTATCCTCTTCTTTTGGATAGAGGTTTGCCAATCTTATATAAAACAGTAGATAGTTTTACTTTTCTTGTTCTCACTTGAATCCAAATTAATGGAATTCTTGTCACTTTTTACCCAGCATTTGGGAGTTTCAGTATTTCACAGTTTCACTGGTCATCCTGTGAACTGAAGGCCATTTTATCTTTCCACTGCTCCACTGTTAGGGTAGTTTTCAAGAAGGAAACAAAGAGAAAAGTCTGCTCTTTGATCAAGCCTCTCTGACCTTAGTCTAGAGTCCAGCAGACTTTGTGTAAAAAGTTTCACATTTGGAAGAGCACAGTCAGGCCAGCAGTCCAAGACAAAATGGTTATAGGAGATGCTGATCAGTGATAGCAAAGGGAAGGCGTGCCTACCTCAGAACATTAACTAATAGGATTGGGGAAATTTATCTATAATAACATAATATGCAGAAGGCAATCTGCAAAAGTCTGCTTCTGCTGGTGGAGTTTGGAAAGTACCTGTTTTGATGTATAGCACACACACACAAAAAGATGAGTGAGGGTTGCCTTCCCAGCATGCTTGGGGTACACTGAGGACCCTGCCCTGTGTTCCTGTCCTCAAAAAATGATAGGTGGTCATTTTCATGTCCAATGAGCAGACCTGTAATTATGATTCACTGCTGAGCAAGGCACCCTACTGGCTTAACATAAAACTATAAAATTCTGCTGGGTTAAAATTGGTATTTCTATCAATGCTTTTACATTTCTTTAAAATGATATGATGTTAGACTGGCATTGCATTGGCTAAGATTATCTAATTCAAAATTGTTCCCGCATTTTAAAAAAGGAAAAACTTCAAAAGAATTTCACTAAACTTAGAGGAAACTGTCTTTATGTAACTTCATTAATTAAATGATTTAGAAAGAGACAAGAAAAGAATGTAAATCATGAGATCTAATAGATAACAAATGACCATGAAGAGAATCTTGGCATTATGGTAAATATGTCAACAAAATGGTGACTCAGTGTTCGGTTGCTGTGAGAAAGGAATTAAATATATAAACTGTATAATGCCCTATTTTGTGTGAATTATGGCTATATGATTTATAATTTTGAATGCTGTGTTCAGCTTTAGTTCTGTGGTTTGGAAAGGATATTGTAGAAGTGGGAAAGATATGAAAAAGAGCAAACTAATTATGACTAATAGTCATAAAATTGGAACAACTTTATAAGAAATGTTACATTGATGGATAAAATAAGAAGGTGAAAACTTGACACATAAAAATAAGACTGGTGAAAGTGGGTATGAACAGGTTTTTCTCCCTAAAATGGAGTAAACCAGTCAACCTGAATAGCAGGGATTCAGAAGATAAAAGAAAGGAATTCATTTTGAGAAGATACAGTGATGCTTACTGGCATGGACAGCTACACAAAAGAATTATCATGGGGAATAAAACTAGTCTTCATATCATTTCCCCTATCTGAAGTAATATTCCTCTGAATAACAACTGCTGGAGATCATAAAGCCAGAAGATACTAACCTGCTTGTATGCTTCCTGATAGTATTGTATCAACTGATGATGGATTAATTAATCCTTTGATCTTTCCAGCATGATCCACAAACAAGGCCATGGTAGCCACCACTGAAAGCACTACTATTGCATATGCATTTAATACTATGGCAAAGGCACATATACAAATATATCATTTTTATTAGGCAAGCATAGACATATCCTACTATTGTAATGAGTCTCTTCTAATCTAATGTTGAATAAAGTCCATGAAGGGAGAAATTACATATCCCTTCCCTTTGTTCAGAGAAGAAAAACTAGTGCAGGCACACACAAAAGGTTTTCTTTTACAGCAGCATGAGTTCAGCCAAATGTTTTATGTGAGGATCTATCCAAGACTCACTATGAAGAGTTTTGTCATGTGTCTCACATAATGAGTTCAGGCACCTGCTCCTTCAAATACTCTATCAGGATAATTTTGACACTGCACTTCATGGGAATTTAATTTCATAGACTTCTGCTTAAATAGAGATTAGAGTTTCTGCCAAAACAATATCAATTGAAAAGATGACATTATAATTAATATAAAGCATTGACTAAGCTCTATCTTTCAACTACAAACAAGACACTACGTTAAAATTTTGCAATGTAATCATATATGTACCTACTGAGAAGCATGCCTAATTGAATTCTATCCTAAAGTGTGTAGTTGTGTAGCATGTCCATTGAAAGGTAAACCTTATTGATTTCAAGAAGAATGTTTATAAGATTGCAGCTTAATTCCCCCAACATATGGCGTGGTAGGCAACAAAAATTAATTATTTTGAGCATGGAACATCTGATATTGAAAACTAACCTACCACCATTGTCTGAAACTCAGATTTGGATCTCTACTCTTCATCTATAGCCATCTGTCTGCCTGTCTACATCTATCTGTCCATCCATCCATCAACCTATTCCTCTTATTGTTTTTATCAATGGATTCCAAATTTCTTCATGCATTTATAATTATATTTCTTCCAGAATTGTTTATATTTTGAGATAATGAGGTAATATTATAAAGTTCATATTATAATGCCTAAAGTCACTGTGAGTGAGTAGGCGGCTATATATATTTTCTAAATAAATAAATAAATAAAAATGTATAATATAAAATATTTAAATGATCTGACAGCACAATTAAAAGCAAAAATTAATACTGTAAAGTTCTTGTTTATAATTTATTTATTTATTAAATTTCTATACCTCCCATTTCACCTAAGTGACTTATTTAAATATAAAAACTATATTTATTTATAAGAATATGTTTTCTTTTATTTATTATTTTAGAGGCTTCTTAACCCTGCTGGAACATTTGTTATACTCTATTTACATATAAAACCTCCTAAGGGGGTTCTACCTTTTTCCCCCTTTGTGAATTGACTTGACTTTTTAATTCATATACTTACGTATTTCTGGAAAGCTCAAAATATATATAATAAATAATAAAGGTCAGGATAACAGCAGTGAAGAAACTGTTTTTTATTACTGATTTTGGTAACAATATAATTTTGTCCTACCAAGTGTGTTTCCAGGTAGAGTTTAAGACTGTCGGTCTCGGCTTTTGGAGGAGTCCAGTTTTCTGTGGTTTCCATGGCTTCATTTAACCATTTAATGAATTCATCCAACTTGCTTACAAACCCCTTGAAGAAGAGAAAACAAGAAAAGACAGTTGTTTAAAAAACATTGTAAAGAAATAATATGGTTATAATACAGCTCTACATCCAGTAACTAGCTGTATATACTAAAACAATGTGATTATGAAGAATGAAGGGGGAAAAGGAATTGGGCCTAACCTATATTGAGAAAATTTAGGGCAGCAATGAATATATAAATTATAGGTTATAGATTTCTTGTCATAATCATGGGAAATCCCAATTTCATTAGAGGCAATTTTGGAAATTTATGTTTTTAAATGGAGGGGGGAAAGAAATCTGTAATGCCAAAGGTTAAAAAACAAGGAAAGGCTACTTTTACTATGTATTTTAACCCTCAAGGTTTTAGAATCCACTTTATAAAGGTTTTTTCTCATAATTACAGCTAAAAGTAATTATAATATCTGAATAGTATATGCAGAATTGAAAACTAACAGCTGATTTACCATGCCATAGAACTAACTAAAAATAATAAATTTCAGGATAATATTCATGCAATCAATATTTGCATCTCAGAACATTGGGGACAATAGGACAGGGATGGTAGGCATGATGGTGTGCTTATGCACGCCCCTTACAGACCTCTTAGGAATGGGGTGAGGTCAATAGAGGTTAGTTTGAGGGTAAAGGTGTGGGGGTTTGAGCAGGTGACAACAGAATCAGGTAGTGAGTTCGAGACATTGACCACTCTGTTGCTGAAATGTACTTCCTGCAATCAAGTTTGGAGGGGTTTACATTAAGTTTATATCTGTTGTGTGCTCTTGTGTTGTGGTGGTTAAAGCTGAAATATTCATTAACTGGTAAGACGGAACTTAAGATTTTTGTACTATGCTTAAGTCCAATCTTAGCCGGTGTTGTTCAAGGTTGTCTAAGCCTAGAATCTCAAGTCTGGTGGTGTAGGTATTCTGTTGCGAACAGAGGTATATAGTACTCTTCTGGTAAACTACTTCTGGAGTCGCTCAATTGTATTTATGTCTGATATACAGTGCGGATTCCAGACAGCAGAGCTGAATTCAAGTATTGGTCTAGCAAAGGTTTTGAATGTCCTAGTTTGCAAATCAGTATTACCAGAGGAGAAGCTTCATAAAATTAAATTTACAACTCTTAAAGCCTTTTTGGCAATACTGTTGCAGTGAGCTTTGGCGCTTTGTTGCTGCCATTTTCTTTACGTTGCTCTGGCTTCCAATTCACTTGTTATACTTGCAATGTGTCAGAAAGCATAAAGTCTAAATTGTTTAGGACCAGATTATTGCATCTTCTCTCACAACTGTATGATCCTTTGCAATATTGTATCATATCTGCCAACAGATTCCTGACTAGCTAGGCGTAGAAGACATTCTGCTAGGATGCAACATGATCATTCCTAAGGAAGCTTGCTTAGCAACTTTATTTATTTATTTGATTTGATTGCCCAACTCCAAAGCAATTGTAAACATTAGCAAACTGAGTAGACCAGCCTCCCTAACAACAGATGTTTTCCAGATGTGTTGGATCATTTCCCACAATTCTTATACTTTGGGGGGATAATGACAATAGAATTCTAACACATTCATTTGCAAAAACTGACTTATTTCAGAAACTGAAATAATTCCCCAACCTTCTGTACCTTATTTTGAATTCATGTATTTGTATTAATTTATTTATGTTATAAGTCATCTGAGAAGCTTTTATGGGTGCAGATTTTCAAAAGAAAATAGATATACACAGAGAGACAAAATAAAGTTTTTATACTGTAATTGGAATTGGTGATGAATTTTGTGCTATTACTTTAGTAAGAAATGTGAGATAATGGTCCCAATCCAAAATGTGATGATATCATGGTATCCCAAGTACAACCTCATGGAAAAAAATGCATCTCGGCACATACTAGTAATAAGCTACAACTCTGAAATCTAAGCACCAAGTAATTTTTTTGTTATTTATTTATTTATTTATTTATTTTACTTCAGTGAAAATTTCCTGTAGCCAATCAGAGATGGAGCCATTATAGGCAAGAAGAGGAAACTTTATTTCTTATATATTTTTCTGCTCGCATTTTACACAGCCTCTTGAGCAATGCTGGAAGGATTTTTAAAAATTCAGAAACAGACAGCTGGACAACTCCCATTTGGGGGTTGTGCCAAGTTCTTGTTTCTGATAAAATCACATTTGGTTGTACTGCCTGGGTTTGAAAGATATGCTGGTTGAATAACCTTCATATAGAATGACTACAGCCATTGATCGATCCTTCCTTCGAGGGGTGGGATCTGACCGGTGAACTACTGGTTGGGTTATTTATGTTTTGCTGCGTGCGCATGTGAAACGTCATCAGCTTGCTGCCTGGACAGCTGACCAGCGCTGTGCACAGGTGCGCAGCATTGGAAAAAGCACTTTTTTCCTACTTTTTCAACCGCAGCTGTGCTGCACAAAGCAGTTGAGGTTGAAAAAGCAGGAAATAAAGGTCAGGTAAGAGCCCGGGCAGGCGGGTAGGCCAAAACAGCAGCAGACACAGAACTGGTTCTGTGTCTGCTGCTCTTCAGAGCTACCGATTCTAGAGAGCTGGAGAGAACCAATAGAATCCCTTCCTTCCTTCCTTCCTTCCTTCCTTCCTTCCTTCCTTCCTTCCTTCCTTCCTGTTAAAATAATTGCTCTCTGTGACTTATGTACTGCACAGTTGCAGCACATAAGTGCTAGAATGGTAGAACCATACAATATAAATCTCTATCTAGTTATAGATACAGAAGCTAAACCTTTTTCTCACAGAGGGCAAGATGTGTAGTGTCATTTATTCTCCATGTATGTGCTAATTAAATTATTATTATTATTATTTTAAAAATGTGAACAAGATAGGGGAAACTTGCCAAGCCTCCTCTTTTGGAGTGTAGACAATAAAACTGAAATCCTATTAGATAAATTAATATACATTTTTTGAATATATAAACATTCCATGACCTATTAATAATCAATCTATAATTTGGAACCTATATTTTTAACTTATACAACATATATAATTTTTATAACATATTTAATATTTAAAAGGCTGAAATACTGAAGTAAAACACAGAAAACTGATAAGCTAGAATCATTTATTAAATAATATAAATATTCCCCTTGTACATTTATTAAAATATACTGTACTATCAGTAATAGCCATAATAACAAGTAAATGTATTTATGGTGAACATCCCTGAAGTGTAACACTACATTCAGAACTAGATGAAAGTATAAGAAACTATTACTATGGCTAGAGCTGTGATTGGAATAAAATCCATTTTCCAATAAAAAAATATGAATCTTTAAAAAAACCTAATATTTTTCTGATGACATCTATAAACTTTATGAAGACTATTCAAACAAAAAGTACTGCAGAAAATGAAAATTATTTCAAATGCTAAAAGCCCGATTTTGAAAATCATTATCAGAGGGTGCAACATTGTAAGGTCCAAAGTGTCATTGTCTAAGTAAACAGCACCATCTGGAGGAATAACCACAAAATAGCAAAGTCATCATGACATTTTAAAGAACTATTTAATCTTGATCATAGCCTTCTAACCATTATGAATTGCCAACCTATGGCAAATACTAGAAATATCTATTCATTAATATCTGCTTTTATAAGAATACTATCCAGATGTTCTGCATCCATGAGCACATTTGGAATTTTAAGCTTATATTGCTGGCACTCTTAATAAAATGACTTCTAGTGGGGATATTTGATGATTTTACCAGATGGCTAGTTACATGGATGACCATTTACAAGAACCAATTACAAAGCTGTCACTTTTCCATATCCAGCCCTTCCTCAATTCCTTCCTTGCAGGAACTAGCCTGGTTAGGTGCCCCATTAGGAAAAGGTGGGCACCAACTGAAGGAAATATTGGGATGCACCTGTACCCCATGTTCACTTTTTAATAAAAGTTATAGGAGCTCAATAGACCATATAGTCATTTTCAGAATAAATACGTTGGATACATTACATTTTTCTTTGTAGGACTCCTGGTGCATGCCAATTAAATTATTATTATTATTTTTAAAATGTGAACAAGATAGGGAAAACTTGTAGAGCCTCGTCTTTTGGAATTCTTTCAAGCATTTTTAAAAACAGTGCTATGAATACAGTGTGTTTTCTTCTGTGAAGTTTATTTATTTATTGTGCATCTTGTATATTGCCTTTGGAGAAACTCCAGCATTCAGGTTAAAATAGGAATAACAGAAACAAATAAAGAACAACAACAAAAGCAAACAAATCCCAAGCAGTAATACATACTCCATTTCAGGAAAAGATAATCAACTCAAACATACTTATAACTATCCAAATAGATTACCAGAGAGCAGATCATCACACCAAGCCTGGACCACTGTATGTGAAGTAACATGTGAAGTAACATGTTGTAGCTTCATGTGAGGTGTTTTTTTCTGCTCGTATACCTGTTCATGTTCCATTGGTCTTCATATGTTTAGGTGCACTGGGAAACAGAGTGAACTCTATATATTCCACTCTATTACCACTGGGTACCATTTAAGTCCCTACAAAAGGAGCTCTTGGTGTTTTGTTAGGTACGTTAAAAGCTGTTGATGGGAACTGACCTAATAGGAGGGGCTTAAGAATGCCACATCCCTTCTCCACTGGTGAGGATTCCCCAGTTCTGACTGTGCCCCCCTCCCTTTAATGCCCAGCTCAGATATCAAGAAAAGGAAAGTGACAGATTTTGGAGGAGAAACATAGACATACTCCTGCCTTGAATTTTCCATCTTTCCATCTTAACCTATCGAAATAGCCATGTAATTTACTACATTTAAAAAAAATACCTATGCTTATTTTAACTGAGGTATTAAATTGACCTTAGCTCTTACTCCATTAGTTGACTGCTATTCAACCCACAGCCATGGGGACCCTGAAACCAAAGGACTCATCTTTACATCTGTTTTCATAGTAACATGGGGCCCAAACAGGAGAGTTTCAACCTCTGTTGTGGAAATCACTTTTATCCATTATAAAGGAATAGGAGAGGATTGACTAGAACACTACTTATCTTGGATTCTGTCACACCTTGGTTTCCTGCTTGACAGCCTACTGTATAAGCAGGGGATAAAATAATTTCTCTTCAGTGTAAGAAATCTAATCAATAGTAAGAGAAAATGTCATTCATTTGCATTGTATGCAGAGAGTATATTTTGACCCAGCATCCAAGCAGCAACCTGACCATCCAACTGTCAAGTCAGATCAGGTCAGGAAACAGATGTCACAGAAATACTAGAACTCTACTTCATAGATTTGGTTACAATAACAGGATCTTGAAAGTCTCACCACATTTTTCTATTCCTGCCTGTTATACCAAAAGAAGTAAAGGCAGGGAACTTCCAGTTTGAGCTTCTTCAGCGACAGACTGAAACCTCATCTCTGCGAGGCTTCGATCCATGCTTGCCATTGGAGCACCCTGAGCCGGCTGGTTTCAGGGCTAAGCCACCCCGTAGAGGTGGTGAAGAGGGGGGAGACTGCCAGCAGGGTTGAGGAGAGCCGCATCTCTCCTCCCCAGCTGGCCATTACTCCCTTTCCTGAAGGCGGTTGCAGTGGTGGTCAGAAATGGCCACCACAAAGAAGAACTCGACCAGAAAAGAATGTGCAGGAGGAAGATAAGAAGAGAAAGTTTTGGTTGACTGGGTCAAACAGCAAAAGCAACAGATAAGGTACCCTGGAATTGAAACTGTTAAAAAACAATATCATCGTTCCCTAAGAAGATTTTTAAGCTGCGAAGGAGAGAGAAAAGGGAAAAGATTTGGTTTTCTCCTTTTCCTATACTGACAGCTAAGAGACTTAAGCAAGAAATTGGAAAAAAAATCCACTTTGACATCAATAGGCATTTAATGCTGAAAATAAAAAGTCAAAGGTATAATAAAGATTTCTGGATAAAGATTGGGAAAAACAACTCCAAAAAAATAGAGTGAAAAATAAGTATAAAATCAGAAAGCAACGGAAGAGGGAAATGCAGAAGAGAGAATTAGAACTAGAGAGACAAGGGGGTAAAAAGGGGAGGGAGAAGATGAGAGGGAAGAAAGAAAGGAAAAGAAGTTATAAAGGACAGAAACAAAATATAGAGAAACAGGGCCTATTTAGAGATAATGGGTGAAAATTTAATGGAAAAAGGGATTCGGCAAAGGTACATAAGATAGCATGGTTATGTTAGAAACAGAAATAATTTTAGAAAATATGAAACAATGTATGATTAAAATGTCTGATAAAATAGCTTTCATAATTCAGTGGAATGCTTCTCAATAAATAAATGTAACAAAAGGTATATTTAATGATTTATAAAACATATGTGAAGAGAAATAAGGGAAAAATTAATTATGGAGATTATATGTGCTTTTAAGGAAGTATGATATTTAATTGAAAAGAAGTGTTAAAGATGTTAAGATTTTAATGATTATTAATGATAGAACTGAACTGGAATGGAATGAGGGTTTATAATTACATATATTTACAATCTTTCTTTCTTTTTTAAAAAAATATAGTGTGTATTATAAGAATGTACCAAGCAGAATTCGATTGGAAGTTATGTATTATGTATTATATTGAAGGTCATAACCTTAAGGTATATATTGAAGTTTAAATAAGAGTTGAATGGATGTAATTAAATATATATAAAGGTGTCATACTCCAATTAGTAACTACAGGAGAAAATTTGTTTAATGAGAAAAGATAATATGAAATTGAAACAGAACAGACAAAAGTATAAATATAATTATTTGAATTGAGATGAGATAATCAAAATAAAATTGAGAAAATTAAAAGAGGGGAAAAAGTATATACAAAATGTAAAATAGTATAAGATATGGAATAGAATACAAAAAGGAGCATGAAATTGAGTTTTGTGTCTGTATAAAGAAGTTCAACCAGGGACCATACTATTTTCAAAAAAGATGTTTTACTTGTATTTTGTATGTGTGAAAACCCAAATAAAACTTTATTAAAAAAAAAAGAAGTAACAGCAAAGCAATCTTGATTTTTCTTTCTTACACATTATTGGGCTAAGTTCATAATTTCTAACATATTTTTCAAGGCCAGCTATGCTGGCTGGAGAATTCTGAGAATTTCCACAGGTCTTAAAGTTGCCAAGTTTGGGGACCTCTGCTCTATACCTATGACTTGACATAATCTAGAAATTCAGTTAAATACCATCCTACACTGGAGTAGGTATTAGCTGCCATTCTTAATATTTATATATGTTTATAGCATGGTATAGAAAAGACTTCTCTTAATACCTAGTATGCCCTGAAAAGTAGTATCAGCTTTAATAATTTTGGTTTCCTAATCTGGTCCACTTTGAAGGGCTGACAGTATACTCACACCAGAAACTTTCCTGAAATGTTTTTAAGCATAAAGAACTATGTGTGGTGTAGGGAGTTGCTATTATGAAGAAAAATTAGAGAACAGAGAGCTATCTTTGCTGTCTTGAGTTCCTGAAGAAAAGGTTGGATATAAACCTAACAAATAAATATATGAAGTCATTGATGATATAGAACACTGATGTCACTGGGGAGTGTAGTGTTTTGCCCTCTGTTTGCTCCAAGCAAGAAGCATGCATTACACATACTGTACATCCATACATATCTATTGCTATTTTCACTGACTTTGCATTAGAATAAAAAGGATATGTGTTATTTCATAAATAAACAATCAGCAGCCTTGTGTTTCTCAGCAGCTGCATAGATCCTTGCCAGCGGGCCCACATTCATGGAAACATTATTTCATCAGGTTTCAGTTTAGTCTTGTGTTTGGTTCTTACCCATGCTATTATGAATGTTCAAAGTTGTAATCTGGTTTCACATGGAAATAAACTGACCTAATTTGCTTTCCCCTTGATGAAATGTATAACAATATAAGTTATTGTTCCTATTCTGTGTTTCTTCAGATTCTGCAGTGCAGTTTCATCTTTCAAAATATACCACAATGCCAGATGTGGTATTCAGCAGGTTCTGACCAGTTCTGGAGAACTGGTAGTAGAAATTTTGAGTAGTTCAGAGAACCGGCAAATACCACCTCTGTCTGAAGATTTTACAGCATCCTTCCCCTGCCATGCCCACCAAGCTATGCCCACAGAACCGATAGTAAAAAAAATTGAATCCCACCACTACACAATGCATATAACGTATTTAAAGCAATCATAAGACATATTGATTGATTTTTTTTCCTATGGGATTCTATTCCCACCAGAAAGCCCCTTCTTGAACACTGGTACAAAAAGAGATAGAATGGACATATGACTGAACAGTCATGAACTTAATACAAAAAATCTCTCATACCCTATTGACCTTGCCTTACTGCTCAACTCATGAACATTAGGGCAGTACCAAATTTTTAAAAGAGATGTTTTGCAAAGCAGGCTGGTATAAGAAACCTTTTTCAAACCATTAAAGCCAAAGAGTATATCAAAGGATTTGACACACTTGTTCTCAAAGTCTTTACCCAACTGTGTGTTTATGTATATATGACTAAGTAACACTTCTGGTTCCATCAGCAAAGTGAGCCAGTTATGCACACATATGGGAAAGACTTCAAAACAGTCATGTCAAATCTTTTGGATGATGTGGCTGCTTTAACATTTCAAGGAGTATGTTGCTTGCATCAGTATATTTTGCAAATTTCCTTTTTATGCTGCCATATATTGATAAAAAGTTAAAGGTCTATCCACTTCATCAGTTTCCTACTTACCTCCATTTTTTCCCATACGATTTCATTATTCTCTTGGTGTTGTATATCTTCCATCAGCTGTTGTATCAAAGCTGATTTATTTGTGAGAGTTATTTCATTTTTATCAGAAACATGACATACTGATGGCTTTCGTGGCCTATCTTCTAGGAACCTTTTCATGCTAGATGAGGATGTGCAAAGTTCTTCGTCAGAAAGGATATCACTAAGAGGGCCCGATTCAATGCTGTCTCCTACTGAAGATATGATGTCACTTGAAGAGCTTGGTGAAGTTCTACCTAACCTTTTGCGCTTCTTTTTGACCTGGTAGGTTGGGTAAAGCTCTGAATCCGAATTCATTTCAGATAGTTCCCAGTCATCGATGTTTTGAAGAGTTTCTCCTGGAGATTTCTGTGGAAGCAATTTTGTCAAATTTTCTAATTTCAAAGCTAATACTTCTGTCTGTTTGAGATGCGATGGAAGAGCTAAGTATTCATCAGAGCCATACCAGGCGTCACCCATTTTATTTTCTGTGCTGGTATTATTTGGTGAAGGTGAATGGGTCTTTTCAGTCTTGTTTCTTTGAAGAAGGGGGAAGGGAGATACAGCAGGATCTGATCCAGCTGAAAAGCTGCTGACTTGGCTATGAGTGGGTGAAGCAGATGGTTCTCTTTCACTGCAAGACTGGCCATTCAGTTCTTCTTGCTTGTAAGGTTCAGAAGAGGTTGATGTTGTGTCACTTTCTGTTCCTTCTATGGAGTGCCTGCTGCCAGAAGAAATTCCATTTTGTAAAGCCAGAATGCCTATTTTGTTCATCTGGTTGTTTGGTGTAGTATTTGATACCATTTCAGAAACCCTGCAGGATGCCACCTCCTCAGGAATGTCATGTGACTTCTTGCACCTCAGCTTCTGCCTTCTGGCATTGTCACTTGACTTACTTAAAGCCATGGACTTTTCTTTGAAATGATTTTGAATTGCAAACTTGAGTTCACTTATGTTGTGCAAACAATCGCACGACTGACTTATGGCAGAAGGGCAATTATTGTATGCTGTTTGTAATGCTAGGCAAAGCTTGGATCGGTCTGGTGGCTCAAGCAGTGAGGGTGTGCTCTTACTGATTTCTGTCTTAATCAAAGAGAACTGATTTTTTATATCATTGGCTACAATATCTGTTTTAAATATGTCTTCTTTGAGAAACAAGCCCCTCTTGGGCAAGGTGGGCTGTGTGGGTGAATCCTCATTGTAGTCACTGCCATCTTGAATTGACCTCTTGGGAGTTGAGTTTTCACTGTGAGGGTGATTATTAGTTTTTACACCATTGAAGGACACTGGATTTTGCTCCTGTTTTATTGTTTCTAAGACCTTCCTGTGGCCAGATGAGACAGCCGAATCCTCAGAAGCTACTTTACAAAAGGGTAAGTGCTCAAAAAGATGAGTGAGTGAAAGTTCAGTAGATATAGTTGATGATTCTTTGCAACTTTGGCTGTCCCCCTGCAGTTGATCAATTGACAAGGGTAAATGGATTTCCTTTGTATTAATACTTTCATTGCATTTGGAAGCACTTGAATCTGTTGCTACAGCCAGTAATCCCACACTTCTAGTAAGTTCTGGAAAGGCTTTGTCCATTTCACTATAGCTCCAAGACTCAAAGGATGTTATTTTAGCTGGACTGGAAGTCATGTCCCCAAGAGTACCAAGCAAATCCTCACTCGGGCTGTAGTCAGACAGTTCAAAGGCAGTAATTCCACAGTCTAGGGATAAATAATTTTGAGAGCATTTGATAGTTAGCTGTCCTGAGTCATCCACTTCTGTTAAAGAATCAAGGCGGTCCTGTAACAAAATCAAAAGAGGAAAAACAGTTGTGCTTATGATTTTTAAACTCTATAATGCTAAACCTTGCAAATACAGAAACAGGAACAGCGCGGGGTGTGTGTGTCCTTTTGATCTTCAGAACATTACTGATCATAAAATTATCACATTGCTTTATAGATTTCACTGAAAATGGGTAACATTAATTAAATAATGAAGAATGCAATAATGGAAGAGATTGTTGGCAGCTTTAAATAATTGGTGCTGAAGTGATGTGCTATGCCTGGATAACATTAAATGGAATGCGAATGGCAAAAAGTTCATGAACCAATGTTTAATGGAGCCTTATGCATTAAAGTCAGTCCCTGATGGCATTTTATTATATTATTCTTATTTATTACTATCATTCGAGAAACACAAAATAATAATTAATTTGTTCAGAACTCAGTATATAACCTGGGTTAGTTGTATATCTTTACAACTTCAGATAGTCAGGATATTTCCTTTTTTTCTCTTAACTTGCATACATGGAATATTACAATGTTTTGATTTATCTCATAGGTTTTTTAAAAAAATCTCATTTTGTATTATTCAGTTGCCACTTAATTAAGCAAAAGATAAAACTTCTATTTTCTGTTTTTTTATTCTTTCTTCAGGTCAGGAACATAACTTTAAAACTGGGAGAATTCTTAAATAATCCTTTAATTTCTAAATGAATATTTTTTTAAAAATACTCTTTTGTGGGCAGTTTAAAGACTGATCACAGCAATGCAAGCATTCAAAAAATTCTATAAAATTTCATTAAAATAGATTTGGAATTATAACAGATCACCTGCCATTGTTTATGTTAATTTGTATTACTGTGTAATTGCCATAATAGATTTGTATGATTTTTAGAATAGTTCCTAATTCTTGTTTAAATCAAAGGCATGCTAGGATATTATGATTATTAAACAAATGTGTTGATTTTTTTTTAAGTTCTAGCTGAGGCAGACATACAAAATACATTACGATAGAAATGTAGAAGGTTGGAAAGAACTATTGTATCCCCTACATTTTCACATCAAAATTCCCCAGGTTAAAATATATTTTCTGGAGTAATATTGGGGACAAATATTGTACTGTATTTCCAACTTGTTTTTGCTTTTCTTTCGTATACTATCCAAGGGTATCAATGTTGAGAGTGAAATAGTTGTTTTCCTGAAACATGCCATGACTTGGACCCTGTAACACACTCTTGACCTGGTTTTGCCCTGCTTGTAGCCCTGTGAAGTGAGGAAGGTACAAGCTTTCCTTATTCTAGTATTTACCCCCTGCAGCAGAACTATAAAAACTTTTTCTGAAATTTCATGCAGGATACAAAACAAATTTACAGCCAAAAAATATAACTGTTCATTGAAAAATAGTCCCAAATACTTATTTTCTTCTTAGGAAGCACTCTCCTCAATAGTGTGACTATTTTTGAACCATGCCTGTCTATCTGTCTGTCAGTCAGTCACTGTGAGTGTGTGGTATGTGTGTTTGTGTGCATAAAAGTCTGTCTCTATTTGTTTCTCTTGTCTGTCTGTCTAGTACAAGGATCTTCAAACTTGGCAAGTTTAAGACTTGAGGACTTCAATTCCCA